ACGGTCGACTACATGGGAGTCCAGCAACATAGCCATTACGCTAACTGCTGGTTCCTGGGCCGGGCTCTCTTGGACCGCCCCCCATCGAGCAGCTCCTCCCTTAACCAGGCATACCTGCTCCCATGTGGTGGCAGGAGGGCTGGGACATGAGGGGACATGAGTGGAATGGGCTGCCTAGGTCTAACCAGCCTCAGTCCCGGGGTATGGCGGAAGCTCTGGGGTGACCAAGGGCAGGCGGGGCAGGAAGCTGGGTGGCTGGGGCTGGTGTGCTGGCTCTTGGGAAATGATGGTTCTGTCCCCATCATTTCCCATCCAGTTGTGTGCACACCACACAACTGTGGCGGGTAACTGGGAAGAGTCGTCCCAGCTCGTCGGCCCAGTAACGTCGCCCAGTTAACTCTGGGAAAGGAACGGCACAAAACCTCACACGAGACAGCTGCTGGGAAGAGGTGGGGTACAGGGGAGGACGGCGAGGGCCAGGGTCCCCTCGGAGAAGGAAAGGGCGGGGTGGCTCTTTCGGCGGGTCCAGACACTACACGAAGCTTTCTCCACCCGGGCCCCAACACTCCTCCCTCGCTTCTGTCATTCACCTACTCAGACTCTGGTGGGACTGGGCCCAGCCCTGTGCAGTTCAGTGCCTGAGTGTGGCCGGGTTGTATCCAAAGAGGGTAAAGAGGCTTCAAGTAGGATGGGATCCTGGAGGGAAGGCCAGCTCTCCTGGGGATGTCCCTCCTCGGCCTAACCCCGCAGCACGACGTGAGTCCTAGACAAACTGCCCCTACTTACTGGAGCCCCGAGCCCTTGTCCTGCACTTGCTCAACTAACACACTTCCACCACAATGAAACTGAGACAGGCTGCCTCGTCTCAGGCTGGCCCACTAACCGGGAAGGCCTGGGCCACGTCCCCTCCAACAACCTGAGCCTAGGGACTCACACCCCCCCAGGTTGTCCCCAGGAGAGCTAACCAGACAAAGGGTATCACCACTAAGAGCGTACATGGGTGGTAGTGAAGGTGGACTCCCATGAGGCCGACTGTGGTTCGAGTCCTGGACCCAGCAGCTCAAGGATCACAACAGGGGACCAACAGGTGGCGTGGTGGTTAAGGTGCTGGACACTCCCACATGGCTGACCACGGTTCAAGTACTAGACTCGCAGCTGGCTTTCTTACTTTCCCTCTCTCTGTCTCTCTCTGGTCAAATGAAAATGAATGAATAAATAAAATTAAATTCAAAAATAATTCTAAAGAAAATCACGACAGGTAAGTAAACAAAGGCATGCATGCGGTGGCAAGTTTGGCCCAGCCTGGGCCCCAGCCTCTCCACTTACTAGTGGGATGACACTGGTAACAGTGGCCTGCCCCCTGGAGTACAATCCCATGCTTAGACTAGGCGCGGCGTTCGGTAGTGACACGTGGGGACGGCTCCATAGTGGGTACCCAACACCGGGGCCGACGTGGGCTTTGCAGAGAAATCTCCCACTCGATGGCCGAGAGCCCAGCAAAGTCCTTTAGGCAAGTCTAGGGTAATAGTCCGTTTCTAGATCTTGCGGCAAAGTTAACTTCTCTGAAGGGACCCCATGTACTTGTAAACTCCGGGTTTCCCGAACCACCTGGTCTGCGGGAGACACCACTGCTAGAATGGATTGCAGCCGTAGGCCCAGGGGCCTACCCGGTCACCCCACTCTGACGCAATTCCCGGTTCCCGGGGCTGGGCAGGAAGAAACAGACATGATTGGGATTTCACTCAAGAATGTCTTTACTGAAGAATTTCTAAGAAAAAAGGACGGACCCTCTTTAAAAAAGATGTTACCTTCAAACAGCAGGCGGGATGGAAGGCCAGGCGGTCAGTCGCTGTTTCCAGCAGACCGGCTCCCTCCCCCGGCACGCGCACTGTGGTGTCACTCTGCAGCTGGCGTCCCTGCCCCACCCTTCCTCCTCCACCCCACAACCCCAGATTCCCTCGGGCCACTTGCCAGTGGCTTTCTGAAGGCACACAGATAAAGGTGCCGGGCTTCCCTCCTAACGGAGTGGAATGGGGCTAGCCGTGGAAAATTCACACGGAATGTCCAGCCAGGGGTGATTCCATCCAGGCCCTCTGGGGAGCAGAGACGCCTCCTGCAGGGGCGCGGGGAGCGCACTGCATCAGTCTGCTCCTGAATAGCAGAGAAGGGAGGCAGGTGAGGAGGGCTGAGCACCCACGGGAGTCAGAGCTCTGGAGGCGGAGGGAGCGCCGAGGCTTTCCGGTCCCAAGTGCTCCAGCTGGCGACCCTCAAGGCCTGGGGACGGTCACTCCTCCCCAGCTGGGAGATTGTCCTCAATCCGCCTGATGAACCTCATCCGGATTTCTGTCACACCGTCTCCTTTCAGGGTGTCTTGGACAAACTTGGCCTCCACAGCCATCTGGACCTGGGGACAGCAGGAAAGTGTGGGGGCAGCGGCCTTGCCACGGCCTCTGAGGGACCCCGGGCATGTGGCTGCAAAGGTCCCACCCACAACGCCCGAGGGGCTGGTTCCCACAAGGACAGGGACGCCAGCTCTGACTTCGGCAGAAGACAGCGGCCCGCCCACAGGAGAAAGGTGACCGAGAACACCGAGAACGAGACTGTCACTGAGTAGGCCACGCTGGGAACGAACACGCCTGGGCCGTGGGGCTGCCGGCACCACCTCACCTGGTGGGGAGCGTCATCGCCAGCTGGAGACGCCCGACTCGGACCCCAGCACCCTCCTAGGGGCAGCGCACCAGGATGAGCCAGCGGTTCTTTGTTCTCACCCACCCAGCATTCACGGAGCCCCTGCGACATTCCGTGTGCCCCGGAGGTACAGAGCGGCACTCACCATCTCCAAGGCTCCCCGTAACACCCCACATAAGAGATTGGAATAAATGAGGGAGGAGTGGTTATCAGGAAGTTCCACAAAGTCCACCAGGGGGTTATTTTCCAAAATGAGGGAGAACTCGTCGCCGGCGGGGCTCCAGTTGGTGATGCTTGGAGTGATGCCCAAGTACATCTTGAACGCGACCTGCCAGGGGACACAGAGCACATGACGAAGAGCAGCAGCAACTGTACAGCAGGGAAGGGGACGAGACAGGTACAGGGGAACTAAGTGGCTCAGGGACAAAATTTCTTCTTTGCAAGATGAAGCTTTGTACCCAAGGCAAAAAGGAGAAGTGTCTGTGCACGACTCCACACCCTCTCCTTCAAGGAATCGCACCCAGGGGCAGCTCGTGGCCTGCCTGTGCTTCTCAGTGGACGGGAGCCCGCCTGTGACAGCACCTAGGCTGGAGAGGCCTGCCCCCACCTGTGCCACTTTCTTTCTCTTTTTTTTTTGGAGAGGTTTTTCGCTATAGGGCGCGTGCGCTCGCCAGACAGACAGAGAGAGACAGAGATACAGAAAGTGAGAAATCACCCCCCAGGGGGTATGGCCACGCCACAATCCCTTCTCCTCCATTCTCCTCTTAGGATCTTGGGCACGCACGCACACGCGCCCGGCGTGAGTTTTAAGCCACCGGGTCCAGGACACGAACTGTGGTCGACTACGTGGGAGTCCAGCGACATAGCCATTACGCTATCTGCTGGTTCCCTGTGCCACTCTCTTCTGGAAGGAGGGTTCAGCACTCGGACTCTGAAGACAACCTTCCCTATCCGCCATCTTTTTTTTTTTTTTTTTTTTTTGGGGGCTATAGGGCACGTGCGCTCGACAGAAAGACAGAGACAGAGAGACAGAAAGCGAGAAATCACCCCCCAGGGGGGATGGTCACGCCGCAATCCCTTCTCCTCCATTCTCCTCTCGGGATCTTGGGCACACACGCACACGTGCCCAGCGTGAGTTTAAGTCACTGGGTATGGAACTCAAACCACGATTGACTACATGGGAGTCCAGCGACATAGCCATTATGCCAACTGCGGTCCCTCTTTATTTTTATTTAAATATTCTTTAGGTTTTTGCCATAGGGCAGGTGCGCTTGCTGGAGATAAACAGAGAGAGGAAAATGAGAAATGACCCTCAGGGAGAAGGGCCACACCAAATCTCCTCCTTAATTCTCCGACTGAGATATTGGGCATACCTGCACATGTGTCCAACGTGATTTTCAAGCCTCCAGGTCTAGAGCGTGAACCATGGTTGGCCACATGGGAGTCTAGTGCCACCTGCTGGCCCCCAAAGCCTGTACTCTTCACCCTGTGCTACCCTGCTACACCCTCCCAGGGCTCTGGCTGATTTCAGGGGGGCTTCAATCCACAGGGGCAATCCCAACCACTCCTTCCTTTTTCATAATCTATGCTCTTCTCAAACTGGCAGGAAGGCTTTTTCAACCTCAGCAACGGCCTAGCCAGTTTCCTGGGAGGTTCAGGGCCTCCTGAAGGGAGACAGAGAGAGCATAAGCACCGCCTCCCACAGGCAACCGTCTGCATGGCCAGGTGGCTCAGGATAATGACCTTGGCAATGACATCTGCAGTTTCCCGAAAGTCATGGCACCTTCCAACATTCGATCGTGCCAAAAAATCTTCAATCAGTCGGACTCCAATGTTATAGCCCCTAGGAAGAAAATCGGAGAACAGATTATTATGGGGCCTAAATGTCTCAAGTCCAACATGAGGCTGTTAGTGGTAATGGGACAGCAGGGATCACCACCTCAAAACGGCCCACCAAATTCAAAGCCAACTGTGCCTAAAATGCTGGCTACCGGACAGAGAACCCTGTTCTGGGCAACAAAGGACAACAGACTTCCGTCTCTCCTACGAGGGAGTCACTCACATTTTGTCAAGTTGTTTATTCACGTCTTCATCATTTTCGTAGTCCTTGCACAGCTGAGTGACCAGAGCACCATAGGTCAGGGTAAAGAGCTCAGAGCTCTAAGAGAGATTCAAAAGACAGTCAGGGTCATAAAAAAGGAAGAGATAGTGTAGTGGTTATATTACTGGACTCCCACATGGCCAACTGAGGTTCAAGTCCCAGACCTGGTGGCTTAAAACTCACACTGGGTATGTGTGTGTGCGTGCCAAAGATCCCAGCAGGAGATCGGAGGAGAAGAGACTGCAGCATGCCCATCCCCCAAGCGATTTCTTGCTTTCTCTCTGTCCCTCTCTGTCTCTCTGGTGAGCACATGCACCCTAATGAAAAAAAATATCTCTCCAAAAAAAAAAAAGAGTTAGAGTGTTACGAGTCTGGTCCAGATACAACTACCTAGAGTCAAAAGAAAATCAGCTGTTTCTGGAGGGAAAGAACATCATTCCCTAGGGGCCAACAGGTGGCATGGTGGTTGAGGTGCTGAACTTCCACTAAGCCACCGGGTCCAGGACACGAACTGTGGTCGACTACGTGGGAGTCCAGCGACATAGCCATTACGCTATCTGCTGGTTCCCTGTGCCACTCTCTTCTGGAAGGAGGGTTCAGCACTCGGACTCTGAAGACAACCTTCCCTATCCGCCATCTTTTTTTTTTTTTTTTTTTTTTTGAGAGGTTTTTGCTATAGGGCACGTGCGCTCGACAGAAAGACAGAGACAGAGAGACAGAAAGCGAGAAATCACCCCCCAGGGGGGATGGTCACGCCGCAATCCCTTCTCCTCCATTCTCCTCTTAGGATCTTGGGCACGCACGCACACGCGCCCGGCGTGAGTTTTAAGCCACCGGGTCCAGGACACGAACTGTGGTCGACTACGTGGGAGTCCAGCGACATAGCCATTATGCCAACTGCGGTCCCTCTTTATTTTTATTTAAATATTCTTTAGGTTTTTGCCATAGGGCAGGTGCGCTTGCTGGAGATAAACAGAGAGAGGAAAATGAGAAATGACCCTCAGGGAGAAGGGCCACACCAAATCTCCTCCTTAATTCTCCGACTGAGATATTGGGCATACCTGCACATGTGTCCAACGTGATTTTCAAGCCTCCAGGTCTAGAGCGTGAACCATGGTTGGCCACATGGGAGTCTAGTGCCACCTGCTGGCCCCCAAAGCCTGTACTCTTCACCCTGTGCTACCCTGCTACACCCTCCCAGGGCTCTGGCTGATTTCAGGGGGGCTTCAATCCACAGGGGCAATCCCAACCACTCCTTCCTTTTTCATAATCTATGCTCTTCTCAAACTGGCAGGAAGGCTTTTTCAACCTCAGCAACGGCCTAGCCAGTTTCCTGGGAGGTTCAGGGCCTCCTGAAGGGAGACAGAGAGAGCATAAGCACCGCCTCCCACAGGCAACCGTCTGCATGGCCAGGTGGCTCAGGATAATGACCTTGGCAATGACATCTGCAGTTTCCCGAAAGTCATGGCACCTTCCAACATTCGATCGTGCCAAAAAATCTTCAATCAGTCGGACTCCAATGTTATAGCCCCTAGGAAGAAAATCGGAGAACAGATTATTATGGGGCCTAAATGTCTCAAGTCCAACATGAGGCTGTTAGTGGTAATGGGACAGCAGGGATCACCACCTCAAAACGGCCCACCAAATTCAAAGCCAACTGTGCCTAAAATGCTGGCTACCGGACAGAGAACCCTGTTCTGGGCAACAAAGGACAACAGACTTCCGTCTCTCCTACGAGGGAGTCACTCACATTTTGTCAAGTTGTTTATTCACGTCTTCATCATTTTCGTAGTCCTTGCACAGCTGAGTGACCAGAGCACCATAGGTCAGGGTAAAGAGCTCAGAGCTCTAAGAGAGATTCAAAAGACAGTCAGGGTCATAAAAAAGGAAGAGATAGTGTAGTGGTTATATTACTGGACTCCCACATGGCCAACTGAGGTTCAAGTCCCAGACCTGGTGGCTTAAAACTCACACTGGGTATGTGTGTGTGCGTGCCAAAGATCCCAGCAGGAGATCGGAGGAGAAGAGACTGCAGCATGCCCATCCCCCAAGCGATTTCTTGCTTTCTCTCTGTCCCTCTCTGTCTCTCTGGTGAGCACATGCACCCTAATGAAAAAAAATATCTCTCCAAAAAAAAAAAAGAGTTAGAGTGTTACGAGTCTGGTCCAGATACAACTACCTAGAGTCAAAAGAAAATCAGCTGTTTCTGGAGGGAAAGAACATCATTCCCTAGGGGCCAACAGGTGGCATGGTGGTTGAGGTGCTGAACTTCCACATGGCTGACCATTGTTCAAGTCCTGGACCTCACAGCCCAAATATTACAATCAATCAATCAATGTTAAAATAAGTAATTTTTTTTTAATAAAAGAACATCATTCCCTGTAAAGTAACCAAAAAATTTGGCCATGCAAGGTCAAAGTGGCAGGGCTGCAGCCAGACCTACTGTAAGAGGCACCGCACGCACCAAGCAGACCCCTTCCAACACACTATGGCAGGCTCTGGCAACCCAAGTTCAGACAGCTGCCAAGCCTGAGCTCGGGTCCCAGGAACTGGTGGAGGGGTAGCTGTTCAAAGATTCTGTGAAAGAGAACCCGAAGTCGCTATTTACGAACTGGCCTCCGTATATCAGGTGTTACAGCACATGCTATGTTCTCCAGGCCTCAGGATGCCCTGGCCTAGAGGCCAACAGCACCCCCACGGCTCCCCGAGGAGCAGCAGAAGACCCAGGAGCCAGTCCCCGGAGAAGGAAGGAGCCTGGACAAAGTCCACTGCACTGGGGCAGCCCTCTCCAGCGCCAGCGTGGGGGGGACAATGTTCCTCCTGGCGCGCAGCTGACGTTTTCAGGGGGCGCCGCAGAGAGGAGCACGGTATAGTGAATGAGGGACACAGCGCTGACCTGGGCTGCTTGCTGCTGGGTTGTCGGGAAAGTCACGACACATTTTTGTGTTGAAAACCAGAAAAAAGTCATGACTTTTCTGACAATCCTATTATTACCACAACTAAAAGCACAAAGGCTCTTTCTCAGATAAAGAAGCCTGTCATTGGGGCTGGCAGGTGGCGTGGTGGGTAAGGGCGCTGGACTCCCACATGGCTGACCGCAGTTCGAGTCCCAGACCTGGCGCCTTGCTTTCTCACTTTCCCTCTTTCTCTCTCTCTGTCCTCTCTGGTCAAATTAAAAATAAATAAATAAATAAAATTAAATAATCCTTTAAAAAAAAGAAGCAGCCTGTCACCTATCTACTTAGAAACAGAAGTGGGAGGTAAAAGTGGCACTGTCTATCAGGGAGGGGAGGCGCCGTCCATGAGAGCGAGCGAGAAAAACGTCACGAACACACTGGACCAAGGACTGACTCCGAAATGGAAGTCAAGATTGCCACCCAACCTGCCCCTCCTGAACGGAGTCTTGCCAGACCTGGAGGAAAGCACCTCTCTATGTTCAAGTCTTCCATGGGAGGGGGCCAGTCAGTGGACTGGTGGTGAGGGCCGCTGGATCCCGCAGAGCTGACTGGGCAGTTTGAGTCCTGGGTCCCACTGTCATCTTTTTTTTTTTCTTTTTTTTTTTGGAGAGGTTTTCGCTATAGGGTGCGTGCGCTCGCCAGAAAGATAGAAAGCGAGAAATCACCCCCGGGGGGGATGGCCACGCCGCAATCCCTTCTCCTCCCTTCTCCCCTCGGGATCTTGGGCACACACATGTGCGTCCAGCGTGAGTTTAAGCCGCCGGGTCCAGGACTTGAACCGCGGTCGACTACGTGGGAGTCCAGCGACATAGCCATTACACTAACTGCTGGTCCCGATCCTGTTGTCTTGAAAAACATGCCAGGCATGTGTGCCTAAAATCCTAAGAGGAGAATGGAGAAGGGACTGTGGTGTGGTCATCTCCCCTGGGGGGTGATTTCTCACCTTCTCTCTCTCTTTTTTTTCTAAGAGAGATTTTTGCTATAAGGTGCATGTCCTCGCCGGTAAAACAGTGAGACAGAAAGCAAGAAATCACCTCCAAGGGGGAATGGCCAAGCCTCAATCCCCTTTCCTCTTGGGATTCTAGGCACTATGCACAAGTGCCCCGTGTGAGTTTCAAGCCACTGGGAACAGGACTTGAACTGCAGTCAACCATATGAGAGTCAAGCGACTTAATGATTACATCATCTGCTGGTCCCTCTGTCTCTGTTGAGCATAGGCACCCTATAACAAACAGAAAGCAAGAGAGAGAGAGAGAGAGAGAGAGAGAGAGAGAGAGAGAGGGAAGGAGGGAGGGAGGGGGGAAAGAAGGAAAAATCAAGCTTTCTAGGGAAGAAAATCCAGGAAACGTTAAGGCCTAAGCTTCTAAACCCAGTGTTCCTTATCCCACCTGCCGTGGCCTGCTGGTGGGTCCCTGTGAGAAGAATCTGAGTGCCTTCTTCTTACCCTAGTGCGCTGTACTTTTGCCACATCAGTTTCATCTCCCAATAACTCAGTAAAGAACAAAAAGCAGGAAACAATCCTTTGGAGATGAGAAAACTGAGATCCAGAATGGTTAAATAATTTGCCCAAAGACAAACAAGCAATTATTCTTCTCTTTTTTGTTTTCTAAATTTTGCCAAAGAGTGTGTACACTCCCTGGAGAGAGAGAGAAAATGGGAAAGCACCCCCAGTGGGAATGGTCACCCCACAATCCCTTCTACTCCATCTATCCCCTCTTTCGGGATTCTGGGTACACACTCACATGCACCTAGCATGTTTTTCAAGCCTCTGGGTCCAGTAGCTAGCAGTGCAGTCAGTCATGTGGGATCCAGCCGCCTTAACCATTATGCCACAAGTGTCCCAAACAGCTAATTATTGAAAAAATTATTGGAGACAAAAACTAAAAGTTTTCAAGTCAATATTGATTCTATTCATTGTTGTCTATAAGTACAACGTCAGTAAGTCCCCCTCAGTAACAACAGAAACAAACAGAAAGAAAAAAGCCAGAAAACGTAGCTGCAATCCAGTCAAAGACGGTAAGTTTCAGGACCAGCAGTTGGCATAATGGCTATGTGGCTGGACTCACATGTAGTCGACCGTGGTTCAAGTCCAAGATCCTGAGAGGGGAATGGAGGAAAAGGGATTGTGGCGTGGCCATCCCCCCTGGAGGGTGTGTGTGGGGGGTGATTTCTCGCTTTCTGTGTCTCTGTCTTTCTGGCAAGCACATGCGCCCTCTAACAAAAACTGCTAAAAAAATAAAAAATAAAAATAAGAAGGTAAGTTTCAGGATACGAAGGCTCTCTGAACGCAACTAAAACAGTCGGCACTGGGTGTCTCTGGGAGACCATTTACTAAACATGGCAATTAAGGAAAGCTATTAAGGAGGGGAATGATTTCTCAGCAAAGTCCAAGGCTTGGCACTCAATAACTGGGGCATGAATGGATGGAGACAGTCCAGCAGTTACCAGTCCGAGAGTTGGCACCACTGCATTAAGTCAGAAGAGCTTTTCTTCCATTATTAATGAGCCCTTGGGTGAAGACTCCAACGGCCTCAGCCCACCATGGAGGCCAGCAACATTCAACGTCATCACCTTACACACGCAGCTGTCTCTCGCTGACAGTCAGATGAGTCAAAGTCATGGCCAGATCTGTTCGTGGTCACATAACCAACGCACCTGCAATCTAGGATTGGGATCTCTGACCCAGTCTTTCCACACCCTCTCTTAATTTGGGAGTCTGTCTCCGTCTTTGGTTATGAGCCAAGACTCTCTGGAACAGTGAGTGACATAAACAAATAACTTCATACTTTCAGGGACCAGTAGGGCAACTGGATCCCCCAGGGTTGACTGAGCAGTTCGTCTCACACCAGGTTGGGGGCCGGCAGGTGATGTAATGGTTAAAGGAGCTGGATTCCCACATGATCAACTGCTGGCTTGCTTTCTCACATTCCCTTTCTCTCTCTCTGGTCAGAAGGAATGGGAGGCCACAGTCTGAAGACTTGTGTTCTAGGCCTTGACCCTTAGAACAAACATTCTCTTGAGCCTTAAGTAAAGGTAGCTCAACCTGTCTGATGTCTTCACCAAATATAAGCACCACACTCTCACCAACAGAGATGTGACCTTCTGCCACACTGCTATTCTCAGGCTGCTTTAGCATGTAATGATCATAGTCAGGCATCTGTGAAACTCTCAGAGCGACTTCATGGAGGGTTTCTCACTATCTTTGCCACCGCGAGAGGCTAGGAGAACGTCAACCCCATTCCACAGATGACAGGTTAGGCAACTGAGACTCAACAGCCTCTTTGAATTGAGAAGCTGTTACTGGGGCCAGCAGGTGGTGTGGTGGTGACTCCAACATGGACTACTGCAGTTCGAGTCCCAGACTTGGCCGCTTGCTTTCTTACTTTCCCTTTCTCTCTGGTCAAATGAAAAACAATAATAATAAATAGGGACCAGTAGACGGTGTAATGGTTATGTGGCTGGACTCCCACGCAGTCAACTGGACCCAGGCCCAGCAGCTTAAAATTCACACCAGGCGCATGAAAGTCCTGAGAGGAGAATGAGAACGGATAGTGAAATGGCCATCCCCTTGGGGGGTGATTTCTCACTTTCTGTCTCTCTGGTGAGCACATATGTCCTATAGCAAAAATCTCCTTCTAAATGGGAACCAACAGTTAGCATAATGGCTATGTCGCTGGACTCCCACGTAGTCGACCGCGGTTCGTGTCCCGGACCCGGTGGCTTAAAACTCACGCCAGGCGCGTGTGCGTGCGTGCCCAAGATCCCGAGAGGAGAATGGAGGAGAAGGGATTGCAGCGTGACCATCCCCCCTGGGGGGTGATTTCTCACTTTCTGTTTCTGTCTCTCCCTGGCGAGTGCATGCACCCTATTGCAAAAATCTCTCCAAAAAAA